ACGAGTCTCCAGATGTTCGGGTGGACAGTCAAAATATTACCACTGGTAAAGCACGGCACGACTAGTTATGGTTAACTAACTCCTATATTTGTTAAAGCAATAGTTCATCCAAAAATGAAAATGTGCTGAAAATATGATCACCCTCAGTTCATCCGAGATCAGGATGAGTTTGTTTCTTCATCAGGTTTGTAGAAATGTAGCACTGCATCAGTGTCTCAGCAATGGATGCTCTGCAGTGAATGGGTGCCGTCAGAACGAGAGCTGATAAAAACATCACAATAATCCACAAGTAATCCACAGCACTCCAGTCCATCAGTTAACATCTGGAGAAGACACAAGCTGAAACTAATCCAGCATTAAGACGTTTTTAACTAAAATATGAGTTCATAATCCATAATAACGCTTCCTCCAGTGAAAAAGTGCATCTGCTGTTGTCTCTCACATCAAAATCCAGCCACATATGTGTTTAGAGCTGTTTAAACGCTGCTTGATCTGTGCAGATTTCTCTCCTGATTCACACCAGAACACTTTTTTCACTGGAGGAAGCGTTATTATGGATTTTAGACTCTATGTATTTTAGTTAAAAACGTCGTAATGCTGGATTAGTTTCAGCTTTTGTCTTCTCCAGATGTTAACTGATGGACTGGAGTGCTGTGGATTATTGTGATGTTTTTATCAGCTCTCGTTCTGACGGCACCCATTCACTGCAGAGCATCCATTGCTAAGACACTGATGCAGTGCTACATTTCTACAAATCAGTTCCTATGAACAAACTCACTCAGCTGGTGTTTTGGTGGTTTTTATTGGATGTATGAAGCCAATGCACTTAACAGAAAATCACATTAACTATCAACATCAACCACAAACAAACACAATCCTGACTGTCTTCATCTTCAGCATTACATCTATTTATTTAGCAGTTCAAACCCAACAAATCAAATGCTCTGACTGTAAAGTGTGTTTGTTGCCTTTCTTTGCAGTAAATGACACCTGGTGTGAATTTTGTGATCGAATAAATGATTTTCAAGTGTGATTTAATACTGTTTGATGCCACTTTATTATCAAAACTGATATAAAAGATGTGCTCAAAATGCGTGAAAATGAATTAAAACCTTTGAATTATTGTTTTAAAAATCACACCGCAAAATTAGAAAAACAAAATCAAAATCATACCAAACGTAGCTTGAAAACGATCTATAACTTTGGGGTGGGTTTCTGGAAAGTAGAAAAACATAAATCAACACAAAGCAGTAAAAACAAGTGAACAAAAACACAGCAGACGTCATCACACATGTGTCTGACAGTGAAGGTGATGTTACCGGTGAAGCTGAGCGAGGGCAGCAGCAGATGGAAACCCTCGTATCTGCTGATCTGCTGAGCGTCGCTGAAGCGCTGCAGTTCTCTGAACACGCTCTCGTTCAGTCGCTGGATGCTCACCGTCTCCACACGACTGCTAGGAACCGACAGACGCAGCCAGAGATGAGCCACCACACTGCCGTTCCTACAGGAACACCAGAGGAACAGATGAAGATGCTGCAGACCTCCGCTCATGAAACACAGAGGGATGGAGAGCAGCGCTCCTCACCCGAACGCAAACACTGCGCTGGAGTTGAAGTATCTGGACAGGTCTGTGCACTTCAGCAGCTTCTCCACCTGTCAGAGAGAAAACAAACCACGTTCTGTGTGCATCTGTGCATTCAAACTCACCAGCAGCAGTTCTCAGGATTCCTCTCTATAAGATCCTCCAGACCAGGGTTGTTAGATTTGCCTATTATGACATGTTCTAGTGTAAAACAGCTAGTTATAGTTAACTGTATCGGTGGTGTGCCAGCTTGACCTGACTAAACCGTGCTGGTTTTCCAGCTGTGTTGTGCTGGTTTGATCAGAGGAAGGACTGTGATGTTCAGACTCACCATGTTCTGCACAGACGCAGCCGCCGCTCTGAACTCTGAGCTCTCGTGGCTTGACAGACTGACAGAGAAGTTCAGATTGAGTATAGAAACACTGGCTGTGTACTGCTGGACCAGCCGCGGCTCCAGAACCCACACCCTGTACTCTACACACACACACACACACA